AGGTAGCTTTTACGAGGCTGAGGCAGGTTCCCAGTGTGAAGGTTTTACCTGCCACCAGTGAGCTCTGCAGGGCCGGCAGCCTCCCTCAAACCACCCTGGGGTCAGAAACCTTTGGATTTAGGAAAGCTGCTGGCTGTGCCAGGGCTGGCCCCCAGTGCAGGAACCCTCGCAGGGCACTTCGGCTCCAACAGGGACTAGCTGCAGGGTTTGCAGGAGAGCTGATGTCCCACCTGGTACGCAGAGCCTCCTCCCTCAGGCCAGAAAAATCAGCTGCAAAGCGAATTCTGCTGCTCCTGCCCCTGCAATCCCCTTCCCACCCCTCAGCACCCCGCAAGGGGCACAGGGACTTGAAAGGGGTTGTTTTGGCAAGTTAGTGGGAAACTGGTGGGGTGGGTGGCTCAGCGGGTGCTGCTGCTCGGCCCCGCAGCACCAAGCACACATGCTGTGTGTCTACACTGCAGCGCCTCAGCTTTGGCCAAGCCCTGTCCCGCAGTTGGGTTGTTTTTGATGTAGTAAGTAAGTCGCCTTTGTTTTGTGATACGTTAAAAGAATGGGATTTTTAATATGTCAGGCAGTGTTAACTGATTATTTTTTAAAGGTTTTCTGACACAGCACTTCTTTCTAGGTCTCTCCTTGGATTGTCTTTTGGTTTAAGAAGAATTGTTCATAACGTTGGTTAAAAAAAATAACTTTGGTAAAACCAATTTATGAGGGTGGGGTTTTTTTTTGTATATGTTCCTTTGGTAACCAGGAAAATAACTTCTATAGACACTAGAATTTGTTTCTGGAAGATACTTGCTTAAAAACAAAAAACCAAACCTACCTGCTGCTTGGCAAAGCTGCATTTATTAGAGTGCTTAACATTGAAGTTTTTATATGTGACTGAGGATTTCTGTAAAGAGGTGGAGTGAGGCTGCCTGCCCCCTGCGCTGCTGCCTGCTCCCAAAGCCTGTCCCCGAGTCCTTCTGGCCAGGCAGGCTGGAGCTGATGTCTCCTTGCCAGAGCTGGGGGTCTTCCCTCTGGGAGGGCTCCCAGCTGGGGGCAGCAGGTGCTGGGTGGGTGTAGCAGTGGCTTGGTGTGGTTATGGTATTTGTGAGGCACACAAATGGCAGCACAGAGGACTGAGTCAGGGTGCCCTGGAGCGAGGAGCAGTCCTTCGCTGGGGCTCCCTCCTCCTAGTGCAGAATTGGAGAAAGAAAAAAAAAATTCCCCAATCATTTTCATTGTTTCCTAAATTTCAGTAAGACCTCCGCTTTGCCATCAGCTGCAGAGCTCTGCTTTTTTTTGTACGGAAAGATGACAAATACGTCCTGCTGTGCAGAAGAACCCAGAGCTACTCGCACATCAGCTCCAGGTGGGGCTACTGGTCCCTGCACTGGTTCCCAGCACCCCTGTCCTGGGTTCCCCCAGTCCCTGCAGCCCCCTCCAGCACGTGCTGGCACTGGCACTGTACCGGACCAAAGCCCCTGTGCATTGGGCTCGCTCCCTTCAACAACAGCAATACCCGCAGATCATGTTTTTGCCACATTTGCTTGTAACTTTGCTGTGCTGAGGTGTTTGCAGTCAGGATGTCGATTGTTTTGATTTTTTTTTGTTGTGTTTGTTATTTGAATCTACTGGTTAGATTTGTTGTCCAAACGATAAAATATTTTTAAAGCTTATTTTGTTTGTAACTGGGCACACCTTAGTGCCAGGGTCTAGATGATATTGTATACACTGGGAAAGCGAACACAGTTCCTACAACAGTATTTTCTATGCTATTAATCAACTAAAATTTTTTCTATATAGAATCTATTTGCAAAATGACTGTTTTAGTGATTAAAAGGGTGACCTTTTTATTTGAATGTATGGCAGACTTCATCTGTCAATCAGTGATGATAGCAAAAAAAAAAAAAAAAAATTTATGTGCCTATGTATTTTTGTACTGGCTTCAAATAAACCAATAACCTTCCCTTCTCCTGCTCTGCCTGCTCTTGCCTTCTGCTAGGAGCTGGCCCTTGCAGGCAAGAAAAGGCTGGGGGTTGTGGTTGTCCCTTCTGGGTGGCGGTGGTGGAAGGGGTGGGTCAGTGTGAGGGAAGCCTCTTGGGGTTTCAGCTTTAAAAATTTGAGGATGGAAAAGTATCTAATGGCAGGAAAAAAAACCCCAACAACTGAAAAAAACCTACTGCTTTGCTAAAATTTGGACCTTTCCTTCTCCCTAGCTCACCGGAGCTGCGGTGTTCTGCGTGGCTGGAGCACCCCAGGAGGTGCTCACTGCTTCCCCCCAGCTCTGTCTGCAAGGTCGCTGCCTCCCGTTGGGCCGCTGTGCCCGGGGTGGGAACCAGAGCGACCGTCTGGTCCTGCGCGACGGTGGGGGCTGTCGCACGGCCCTGCTGCACCTCCTGCCTGCTGCGCTGGGGCGTTCTGCTGGGACTAGCAGCAGTGTTAGGATGACTTATTCCCTTCATTGGGAAATAAAAACGAACTGGTGAGCTGTAAGCCACAGCTCACCCATCACCGCCTTGCCTCGTCCCGCCTGCCTGCAGCAGCAGCAGCACTGAACTTGCTCGTGTCTCCATCCTCCTGTGCCTGACGCGGCATTTACCTTAAATCAGACAGCACAACCCACCCCGTCAGGCCCAGCTCTCGCCCACAACAGCCTGGGAGCAGTGTTATGGGAAAAGGGTGTGAGAGTGACCTGGTTTCAGGGGAATGAAAGAAACAGTTCAAAGTTGAATCAGAAAGGTATTTTTATGGCTGCAGTTTTCACCACAGCAGTAACACGCTGCCACAATGGGACAGGGTCATCACATCCTCTGTAAGCAGAAATACTCTGCACTGTTCTGATCAAACAACTCAGAATTCTTTTATGCAGGGAATATGTTTAAAAAAATATTTTAATAAGCTTTTTCAGAATTGCAGAGGGGGAATGGGGATAAGAGAAGGGAATTACTAACAGTGCAAAATTACTATGGGTGGAAAAATGTATAAATTTGTACATTCTATATCTGGGGGGGTGGGGTGGGGTGTTTTTTTTTCATATCACATTTAATCCTTTAGTTTGGTCTGTTGAGCTGGAGTCTCTGTTCAGGCTGCAGTCTTTCTTACAGCACTTCATGAACCCAGGCCACCCGCCCCAGCTGAACCCATCACAATAGTGCTTGAAAAATGTCCCCACGTGTCACATGTGAGCTGTGGGCTTTTCAACACAGTTCAGAAACACGTTCAAACCCTTCTGGGCTCCAAACTGGACTGAAGGCTCTTGAAATGAAGTCAAAGTTACTATATTTCTGGAATTTTAAATAGCTTTAGTAGTGCAATGACAATCAAGTTATAGTGGCTGCATTTTGAAGAACATGAACAAAGTATTGTATAAAACACCAGCATAAACAAAATGTAAATTATAATTAAATATTCTTAAAGTCTAGCTGAGCATTACATAGTTGTTGATTACGGAATGTCAGGTCTCCTCTACGTATCACCAAAAAAAGGTAAGATAAAAAGACAAAGCAACATTCCTGAAAGTATACACAGTGCTGTATTTCACACAAGCCTGAGACAAGTTACTTATAAACTTTCCTATAAATTGGTGGAAGTATTTCCAACTTGCAAACAAAAAAAAATGCATAAAAATAAAACTGAAAGTAGGGCTCTAGTTGCAAAGACTCTTAGAAGCACTGCACTGCCCTCAGTCTGAAACCGTCTCAAGACCGTCTTTGACACAAGGCTGCGATGCTTTGGGTTTCCGTTAATAAACCAGACTCTAAATTAACAGCAACCTCTTACTCGAGTGATCACTGAATTAATTGATTAACGCAGGCCATAGTTAACAAACCTCACTGTGGTGCCTCTCCATGTCAGCTGCTGGCTAATTCCAGGCACATCGGGCGAACCCCTGTGACGGGCTCGTTCACGTGATGCACCCCAGGGACTCATCGTGGCGATGGAGCCGGGCCGGGTCCAGAGGCTTTGGCTCATTAATGACCGTAAAGTCCAAGTACACATAGTTGAAGGAGAAAACAAACCAAACAAAACCTTTAGCAGTTGGTTGGGTTTTTTTTAGGTTGATACATTAGTTTCAAACCATAGGACCGTAGAGTTAAAACCAGAATTGTCAAGACTCATAAACTTTAAGTAAAAATAACCAATTACAAATTAACAGCACTCCTGTGAGCCACGGGAGGAGGACACAAGGTTATCAAGTATACAAATGAACAAGTTTTCCTATTTTTAATATAGTAGATGTGTGGCTGTGGCTTAAAAAAAAAAACAAACAAGCCCAAAACAAAACACCGGTGTTAAAAAACCTTTCTGTTTCATGGATGTGAACCCTAATTCACTAACTTTCAAATTATGCCAGTGGGCATCACCCCCCGCCACACGCAGTTATAAAGAATTTTCATTTCTCACACTTTAATCTTAAAACAGTTACCGTACCTACGCTCGCTTCTCACCCGTGACTCTCTCTCTCTGTATGAACGTGCACACGCTGTACGTGTGTATGGGCGGTTTCTGCTCCCACCAAAACACCCAGCCGTGTACGGTCCACTCGTTTTCAGAACTTCAAGATCAGGCACCAGGTTACCAGCTGCACGTCCATTTCCAACCCCTGCAGCCGCCATCCCGTGAGCCATTTCCTACCCTTCCTGTGCTCGGTGAAATATAGAAGATGACAGATAGACCAAAGATAAATCACTGGATAATCTAACACCTGATCTTGGCGAGCAAGGGTCAGTAAACTTCAGCATTTAGCTGAGCTCAAAATAAACCAAGAAAATGTATAATGAAAGCAAGAAAATTTGTGCAACGCAAGCATCATGCTTAACGAATTTTTAGCATCACTATTTGCCATAAAACAAAAGTAAGAAAAATCATGTTTTCAAAATCAAATGAGTTCTAACCATTCTTGATGTTAATTGTTTACTGTTTTCTGAAAAGAAAATAAGACCTTAGTGACTAATAAGCATTTTTTAAGTCAATTGGTTTGGTCTGGGATTTTTTTTTGTCGTTGATTTTTTTTTTTAAAAAAGACTTCAGCAAAATAAAATGAAGCTGACATTAGACTCAGGATATCAATTCTCTCATAAAAGTTTACCAACTGTACAAGTTAAGAAAATTATACAAGCTTTTGTTTTAAGAAAGGACAGTTCCATCAAGACATAAGTACTGTAAAAATCTTTCAAAGGCTACAAAGAAATCTGGAAAAATACAGAATGTATTTCTTTAGCCCAGATAAAGAATATGGAAAGACATCATTGATGTCAACAATTTTACATATACAAACCTGACCTGGTTTATTTATTTACCTTTTAAAATTTCTATATATAAAAATAGTTGTGCTCATAACTTTCAGGATTCATAAAGGTTCCTTAACAATGGGATGACACTTTCCTCTCGCTAGCGTGAGTGGAAGTCTCTGTGCCTACTCTGATGCGTGTCTTGGCATTCTGTATTTCATTTTAACTTCCTGTGACATTTGAACCAGCCCCTGCTTCGATAGGATGATGCTTTGTTCACTTGTACAATGCTGAAACAGTGTATTACACACAGAAATTTAATGTATTAGGCTGGGCGTATTTTTGACAGAAACTCACTGATTTGTTTCTGAAATATTTTTAAGAGCCTTAAGAGTTCCCAGAACTACAGTTGCCAGCTCTGAGAAACAGAATAGTCTCCTACTGCTTTTCAGCACTGAAAAAACCCAAATAATCAGATTTTGAGAGACAACTAGAAGGTATTGGAAAAAAATTCTCAGCAGATTGTTCTACGGAACTGGATTTTGTAAGGTAACCCATCAACCCTGAAAATTTTAGACACCCAAAATTTACTCCAAGGAATAAAATCAGCTCCTAGCATTCAGTCATCCAAAGTTTCTAGTTCTTCAAGCTTCCCATGTGAGTTTGCTTCTTGGAAGATATCTGAAGAACCTGGACTCTCTTTTCCATTGCTGTTAATTCTTCTTCTTTTTAGAGGTCTTTCATTTTTTTCTTCCAAATCATTTTCATTTCTGGAAGCTGAATGAGCAAGTTTTGGGTCAACGGAAAGGTTTTCAGTTTCATACCCATTTGTATCCAGATCCGTGTGAGGTGTTTTCTTGCCACTGGTAGGTCCATTTACATGCAATCCTTCAATTTTTGCTTCATCTTTATTTGGTATCTCACCTGGCCCATTAGCAGACACCCCTGCGTTAGAGACAGATGGTAAGAAAGAGAATAGAAGTGTAACCAGTGACAGAACAACCTGTGATAGGCTGATAAAGCAGAACTCTAACGAGTCCCATGGTACTAAAAAGCCAATATTGTTTGCGTATCCTCCCTGTGTGATGAACGAGTGATTTATTTGCATACAAATGACAGACTTATCAGGACAGAGTTTATGGAAGCCCTTAGAAGCAACAGCAGCCAAGAAAATGTCCTGGAATCCCATAACTGTACAAGCTGCAGGTGGACTGTCCTCACCTGAGCAGTTTCTGTAGCTTCCACTTGATTTTCACAACCAGATTCAGCCCCCAAGCTTCTCCCCCCTCTTGCTACAGCTTTTACTTCAGCTCCTTCGCAACAGCTGTGCTTGCTTTTGAGATTTTCTTCCTTCACGAGTGATCGTGCCCTGGCTCTTCTCCCACTCCTAACTACCCTTCAGTGCCCCATGTCTGCTACGAATAGCTAATGGCGTTCCCAAGACAAGCACCGGCGAAGCACTAGCGTGCGTGCTACACAATAGCCCAGTTCCCATCCCAGTTGTTTTAAATATCCTGCACAGGTCTCCTCACAAAGTTAGCACTACACATCTACACTAGTGTGGGGAAGACAAGGACAGACTAACTGCATCTAAAAGGAAGATTCTAGTGGAGATTTATCTTCAGTATTTATTTATATGATAAATTTAGCCCCATTTATACGGGCTAAATGCAAACATGTAGCTTTTTCAAAAGACATTTTTAACTTCAAGCTACTAACACCTTGGAAAATATTTAAAACTGAAATAGGCTTGTTTTTCTCACTTGGCTCCTCATCTGCGATGATCTGGCAACTCCGTTCAAGAGGGACAGGCACACCCTTACCATTCTGATTACTGTTGCTGGTCGTGCTGTCTTCCCTTTCAGACTGGCTGGTGCTGCTGTTGGAAGTTGTGGGAGGAGGAGACGGAGCTCTACTGGAAGCAGCACTTTCACTCTCATCCAGGAGACGGTCCATATAATCTCTACATAACAGAAACAGCACATTCAGCATTGCCCTTGCTGTGTAAAGGATTGGTGTTATTTGTACGAAAATAGTCACTGCACATACTGCGAGCGTGACCAGTTCAGATTTTGAAATGCACAGACTTAATCTTACAAAGTTAACAACATCAAGATCCCCTGTGTTAACTGGCCCACATATGGTCTGTCCACAGCAACTACGTGGTTGTTGACCAATTGCTGCAGCCAGCTTATATAAATTCAGCCTGTGTTTATGCTAAGTCCTCCAAGATCATGTACAAGCAGCAACTTCAACATGCTGTGACGCTGTGGACTGTGTTTTCAAGGTGATGCTCTCAGGCAGGTTCGTACTAAGTTCTTGCAACTTGTGGCGGCAGCGACAACGTACAATTAAAGCAAGTAAGTTTTGTGCACATACAAACTCAAAAGGGGTACAGTAGAAAGCAAATGAAAAACTTCAGAGTTAAAGACATTCCCATATCTGAAATCTATTACAGTCCTACAATTTAGGTCACTAACAGTAAATCTCTTATGAAAGATTTAAACAAACAAAGCCCTTGTACGTATGGTGTTAGTCTGGATTAACTCCAGCAATAGCATATCCTCACACTAATTGTTCTGGAACAGCCACTGCACCCTGAATTCCCACATATATCTGCAAAATCATTCAAGAATAGACAAGTACAATCCTTAATGACACTTCTTCTGATCACCATATGCAGTCAACTGCAAAAGAATCGGAGAATGTTTTAAGTGATTAACAACCAAAATTTTCTACTAATTTGGGGAAAAAACAAAGATGGAAGAAGAAGAGGAGACAGACAGTCCCTGACAACTAGTTAAGAATATCCAGGAGCTCTGGGCACTTCTCTGTAACAGTCCACTTCACATAGCCACAGATGGCAACTCTTAATGTCATACTGCAAGCTCAACTAGTTAAGAATATCCAGGAGCTCTGGGCGCTTCTCTGTAACAGTCCACTTCACATAGCAAGCTCACTTCAGTGGTCCAACACACAGTTCTAAAACATTTAAAGAAACAATAATATTCAAAAGAAGGATCAACAGAGAAGCCAGGACCAAATGAGGAAGAAAAAGAATAGTAAAAAGACTTGGAAAGTCAGTGGAAAGAGCTGGGTACTAAAATCACAGCATTGGAATGAAAGGCAGACGAGTATGTTGGCTCACTTGCTCGGATTTGAGGGAGAACACAGAGTTATGCACAGGCACTTCCCTCCTTGCCTAGCAGAGATGTGAATGGGGAAAGGCGCTATGTACAACCAAAAAAGCCCTAGTATAGGGCAGTGTCGGCCAGAATTCTTGCCAAACAATACATTTCAAGAGTATACTACAGCGTGACCACAAATCCCACCTGAAACTAAGGCCTTTGTATAAAGCACGGATTTAAAGTAAAACAAGCATTTGAAAACCCCTGCATACTTGCAGCAATGTTACATCTGTGAAACATTTAAACAGAAAACAAGCTAAATGAAAGAGTTCTTCAATGGCAATTGTTGGCCTTATTCCAAGTAAATGTATTTTAGAAATTACATTATACGCACTAGTAAGCTTCTCTTACACCTTGGCCGTTTTCCTGCTGCAAATTGAGACTACGGAATGCCTCGGTTGCCCTACCATTTCAGATTAGAGAAGCATAAAATAAAGATTTAGATCCAACATGTAAAAACACATAAAAATAATGCACATCTTACGTGACACCAGGATGAAGATTGTATTTCTTCTTTCCAAATCGGGTCTGCTGCGCAAAGAAATCATAACGCTCTGATTTCTTCCACATGTAATAAAATGCTACACACTCACCAACTGATCTTGTTCGTACCTAGGAAATATGTACCATGCAAATTTTGGTGAATCTAAATACATTTTTGGCAAAAAGTTACCATTTAAACCAAAAGGTGTGAAATTCAAAGTCAATGCTTCTTTATACAACATAGGAAATAGTGGAAAATTTCAGGGGCCCAGAAATTGAAGTGCAAAGTTTAACAGTGTTTCTAAGAATGCTGTAGATATCACAAGGTGCTGCAAGCAACAGCTTCAGGAGAAATACTCAAGCCTGTTTCACCAGTCTGCTCAAGACCAGAGCAAGACCCTAGGGACGCAGGTCTGCCCGTACATATGCACAGCAGCATTTTTGCACTTTCTGAACTTTGGGGTCACAGCCACAGTTACAGAGAATTCTGCACTTTGAGACACCAATTTGGACATATAAGTAGTGAGAATTAGAAGAAGTAAATATAGTAATTTGTGAAGGAAACTGAGGTTAAGAATTTATTTACAATTACATCTCCTTAAAAAAAAAGAAGTGAGATCTACACTTAAAATCAGTGTTTACCTTATTTGCCTGAATCACATGAAAATCCTTGCCATAGACTTTCAGCCCTTGTTCAAAGTTCCTACATTCTTCTTCTGTCCAAACAGATAATTCTTCTATAGCAAGAAAATGCAATAAAGAAAATACTTAACAAAAAAGCATACGGCAAATAAAAGAAAACTTAAGTGACAGAAGACATACGTGGATTTCAAGTTTCTTACACCAGCTGCTGACTAAATGAGAACCACCTCCAGAAATTTCACTTACTAGTACAAAAAGGAAAATTCTCCCTTCTAGTGAGTAGGTGGGAAATTTGGCTGCCTGAAATAGCTAGTCAGGGGAAATAACTAGGCAGCAGAAAGAGGAAGAAGGGCTTAGAAACCTGGTCTCGCCACCCTGCACCTGGAACCACAGGAAGCAGGTATCCTTCAAGCCAGGACACAGCATGAAGGAGTTCATGCTACAGACTCAAACTGGCTGCTGGTATTTGGAAGAAGCGGGGGAAAAGGAACAAGGAAAGAGATCTTTCCTGCTGGCAAGAGCCAGCAACGATAGGCTGTTAATTCTAGTCAGGTAGAACAAGAAACTGCACTGCTCACACTATTAGGTGGGAAATCTTGGCCCCACTGAAACCCCTAATAACTTTCAGCCACACTTCTAAGAACTTAATATAATGTGGCCTTATTGATTCTTAAGGTCACAAATAAATAAGGTTTAAAATAGTGGGAGAACAAACTAATCTTGTCTATTTGATCATTCCTGTCCTGTGATTTGCACAATAAAGTCTGGAGAAGCCACAGGTTTGAAAGCAGAAACAACAGATCAATGTGCAACGAAAATAATTTGTGCCTTCTCTTAGTTTCTTGTTCCTTTGAGTATAGCGATCAATACCAAAACAGGAGATGCTTAAGGCTCCAAAAGCATCTTTAAGACCAGGGTCTTTTTAGTGTTATACTTTGTTAAAGAAAAGGTTTAGATGCTCATTCTCCTGTATTTAGAATTGTGAATTACTTCATTTCGTATTTCATGTTTGTTCCATTAACTTTGATGACTGAAATGTCTAGAAGAACAAAGAACAAAATGCCCAAGAAATGCACAATTCAGTTGCTAAGAAGTAATTTTAAACTTTAATTTGTTGTTAAAGTCACAGATATAAATATAAAGCTCTAATTAATGACAGGGAGTTCATTTACACACCCTCTTTGAGCATGTGCCTGTTTATACTCCATCTGCTAATTTCATTCTCTCAGAGAACAATAAGAAGTTCGCTGAAGGTTGCATTTAAATAGGCACTGATATCTACGGCTTATGTGCAGTCAAGCTCTAATAAAATTTCTCAGTCTGCTGACAGCAAAACCCAATACCTGTGTAACAAATAAAATGAGAGTTCAACAATATAACCTTAACTTTCAGCGTATGCTCACCTCTGGCTGCTTTTACATTAAATCTCAGCCTTCGTAATGATTCTTCAGTATCAAAATTGCACTTAACCAGTTCATACAATGCCTGGAAAGATGAAAAGACACACGTTTAACCACTCAATTTATGTTGTGCCACACAAGCATACTTAGTAAATCAATAATACCGTATTAAGAAAAGATTAAAAGTAAACTCATTGAATGAATGTAATATAATTTAAGACAGCACAAAGACATATTTCCTCTGTTTAAATTTCAAAATCTCTAATTACTTAACCAAGAATATATTCAGGCAAAGTATCTGAACATTTTCATTCACTGCATAAGTTTGTAAAATTGATGGGGTTTTTTTTGTATGAAGATAAATGTTAGTACCCCTTCATATAGCTTTAAAAAAATCTGTAACTGAAAGAACTCATTCATACACAATTATTGATATACAAAACAATGCACTGATACGTTAAGCCTAAGTTAACAGTTTAATATTTGTTGAAAGGTAAAAAGCCCATCATATTTCTATTTCCACAAGGAACATGATTTTAATTCTTGGGAGTAAAATAAAATAAAGGGATAATTCATTCTGTAATATTAAACTACAAATCCTAATTATTCTTGTATACCTGCTCATTGTCTTTAATATGTGATCCTTCAGGAATTGCATCTAGGCCTTTCTCATCACCTGTACGCCTTGAAGCTTCACTGAGGAACTCAATCACTTTATCCTCTGGTAAGAAGTCAGGATTCCACAGCAGCTGGTCATCATTTTCATACACTGCATTAACCACAGGAAAAAGACAAGCAAGCTAAACCAACAATTCAGAAGTTTATTCTCTCTTATAAAGCTAGTGATTATTAAACCTTGGAAGATCACTAGAGCACCAACATTAATCCAGAATACACACAAGGACAGGTAAAAGTCTCATGAACGCAGTGATCCAAATGACTAGGATACTATACCTTACATTGTCTGGAAATCTCTGGCAGAATCAGTGCTCTAGATTCCAGGACCCATTTATTAAACTTCAGAAACTCCACCTTTCCTGTCCTCCTCCTGACACAGTCCCTGAACGATCCCGCCAGCATGTCTTTTCCTAAGGCAGCACTGTTTTGCTGATGGCAGCCAGCAGGCACAGAAAACTATTTCAGAAATTTAATTAGTTTTCTTGTAAGATGATGAGGATCAGTCACGTAAAACCAAAAAGCACACCACCAAAAAATGGTGCCCAAAACACCACCAGGTGTCTGGACCACTAAATCTAAAAGCCTTATCTAACACGGCTGGCAAAAGCCAGCAACAAGGTGCACTCCTCCAGGGAAGATGACACCCAGATGCCAGACACTCTGAAGTCAAACAGCTCCTGAAAGGAAACTTTGCTAAGACTTCCTACTACTTCCAAGAAAGACTTTCTAAAACAAAATCACTCAGGTGAAGAGGCTGAATTTTAATACTACCAAATCTCTAGTGTTTTTTCAGAGCTTTTGCATGAGCTTTCAGACCAGGGAAGCCATAGTAAGCTGAAATTAAGGGGAAAAACATGGCCAAATTATATATCCTCTGAATTATCTCCCATTTTTGTTTTTGAAGAGCCTACAAGCTTTGCAGGATTAAAATACTAGTACAGCAAAATTCAGGTTATTAAAAAAACCTAGAATCGGGAAAGTATCCAGACCTCGCTTGTGGCCCAGTTTTCAATGAAAGACAACCTTACAAAAACCAGCAAGAGTTAACATTGATTCCATTAGCTCGGTGAGCACCTTTAACAAGAGAAAGGAGTGAACACTTGGGAAAGCATGGTCACCACAGGAAGGGAAGCAGCATCCTGTGCAGGTGGAAAGGTCAGAGTGGCAGCTAGATGCATCCCTACTTGAAAAAAACTATTTTTAACATGAAAGTAGACTACAGATAAAACCCCAAAACGGCTAAGAAAAATTATTAACTGTCTTGCAAAGACAGACAGCTTCCTTTCACGAACGACACACTCTTTGGAAACAGCTCCCAACAACTTCCTGGGAGCTTTTTTGTTTCCAAAGCTAGTCCTAATCTGATGTTTGGTTGCTCATTGAAGATGATGATTCTCGGCACCCGGGGATACAAACTTGAGTGGAAGCAACAGTTCTTTTCAGGAGATAACTGATAACTGGTTCTAAGCCACCCTTAGTGATGCAAGCTATGTACACTGCAATGTTTATGAAGGACAGCGGACAGTAAGTCTCAAAACAGCTTCAGCACCTTTCAGAGCTATCCCTTGATTTCCAAGTCCAAGCCTTTCAAAAACATACATTTTAATTTTTTAGATTTTTCATAACCTGAAATTGTTTAGTCTCATACTTCTCAGAGAAGCAGTCTACTGCAATTAGCTCAGTGTAGATTACAAGGCCGTTCTTTCCTCACAGCAGCATGTCAGAACACATTCTGAAAAGCAATGCGGTTCTTCTTAAGAGTTCTAGCATTTTGGTGCTTTTGCTCACAGGACTGGATATGAAAGGACTAGTCGTCTTGGTGCTTGGGAATTTTACAATTTGAATTTCTCTTTTGTTAGAGGACAACTCAGATGATGGGATATGAACATGGAAGTACTAAATACATACTCTCAGACGTTTTTCAATTTTTTTAAGCTTCATTAATATTCCAGTTGGAGTGTTGTCAAAGATTACATCCAAACACAGCAGAAAGGAAAGAAGTGGCAGAAGATATAAAACGCCACTGGTATATAAAACTAGAATAGCTCTAGCATGACTAGTGAAAATTTAACTTTTCCTGTCAACAACTTTTGCCCATGACGTAGGTTTTCCATTCTGCAATGAGTAGTGTGCAAGACTATGAAAAACTGTTTTATATAGGTTACTCAATGCACAAAGCAGCCATATCTTCTTTATTATTGGAGGCCAGAAGCCATTTAGAGCTGAGTAAATACCAGGAAAAGCAGGCAACCAGTAAAGCATCATTGACTACATCTCATGCAAATACATAGTTCAAGCTCTATTTTCAGACAGAAGCAGGAAAGCATGCAAAGAACAACTTCTTCACAGCTAAAAAGCAGATGTTTTCTAATTTGCCATTTTCTGCTCTTAATGGAAACTCCTGACTTCTCAGGTAGGTTTAAATCACGTTCTCTTCAACTTCTCTGGCTACGAAGCCCAGAGCTTCAGTGTGAGCCTGTTCTAAGTCAACAGCAGGACTGATGCTCTTTTTAGACAGATTCTAGCTAGATCAGGCTACAGCATAGCTACCGCAGCCTGGAGCTCAAAGCAAGACAACTCTTACTGCTCGGGTATACACCCAGATTCTAGGAAGGGACCGAGTTTTGTGCTGGTTAGTTTGAAAACTAACATATAAAACTACAAAAGAGGCAGTCTGAAACTGACCTGTAGTGTACACAAATTCTTAGTAATGGGCCGAACGAGCAGGAAAATTTGCTTCTTTTAGGCTCACAGCTGGGTTTAAACTGAGCCTACCTTTCCTGACTTGATTATATTGACAGCATACAGCTAAAGGCTCTGGTTGTGAGCAGGGGGAAAAGTTCCTGGAAAAAAACTCCAGAAGTACAAGAGGAGGTTCTTTAATATTGATTGAAGAGTTATAAAATGTGAGCATCAAAGCTGCTGGTACCATTTTGCCTGTTTTAATGTGTTAATCAAATTCCAGCAACACAATTTCTTTATTTTATTTCTTTAATTTTATTTTATTTCTATTTTGGTTTACATAAACTAAATATATTAGGTGAAGAGATCAACATAAGCTATATAGAAAGCTTGTGTACATTACCAAATTGGAATACAAGGGTTCAATAGGCAACAGGCCAGCGATACAATCTTTCTTTTCCCCTTCCGAGACTCAAGCTCTGATGGTGAAGTACAAGATGAACACACATGACATCAATCAAATCCTTTTTTTCTCCCCATTAGAAAATAATCTCAAACATAGCAATAATGGTAATAGTGCTAAGTCTCACCTTTTTCATTCTCTTTGTATTTGCATATGCCAGCTGGAATTTCAGCTTGAAACATAGAGCCCACCATGATTTCCTGTTTTGAAATAACAGAAAAAAAGAAGTTAAGCAATGACAGCTGTGACATTTTTTGTTAGCAAACAAGCAAATGACCACATCTTTTTTTACCCCTTAAAATTTTCTTTGTTCAAAATCTAAAAATATAGTTAACAGGCACTATGTAGAAATGGATTTTTGACTATTTGGGGAGGCTTCAACACTTCTTACTATCAAGACTCTTATTTATGGGGAAAAACTGTAGAGGATTTGGGTGATCTATAAAGCTCAGAGTTACTAGGTAACAGATCAACTCATTACTCATGAAATACAGGCTTTTTTAACAGTCCTTAGTATTTACCTTTTTCCAGTCTTCTGAGGGAATATAATCTTCATCTTCTTCAGATTCCTCTTCTATTTCACTATCTACAAGAAATTGTTCAAACATTTACCCAAAATGGGCTGTGATTGGGCCCATGCATGCCAACACCAGCCTCCAGCACAGTGGTCTAAGCGAGGGGGCCTGGGACATCAGAGCCAGCTCCTGGGAGCACTGCAGCATGGGTGACAGGGGGACATGAGCCCAGCCTTTCACCCCACCAGCCTCCAGCCACAGGGCAGCCTGCTCTGCCTCACTGCCATCTTATCTAACACCACACAAGTGCGAACGGCAGTTTTAGTGACAATACTGAATGTTTCAGTATTGACAACTTTAAAAAATGACGCGCCCGATGTTCACATTGAGAGTGCATTAAGATATACACCAGGCTCTGAAAAGTTGAGGCACAAATTAATACATCCATCAATTTTACTACTGCCTCATTAAAATTTCTTTTCCCCCACCCAGTTTTGAAGCAGTTGAGATGATCCGCATTCAAATTTACTACAAGCAGTTACTTTCTGAAGGCATTTTTATGTGGATGTTCAGCATCCACACGTGGGTTTCAACACCCTTTTCAATGAGCTCCTAGCTTAGTTACTGCTGTTCTTTTTCCCTTACAGCAGCTACCACTGAATTGAAGGTAGACTACAGCAGAAGATGAGAAAAATCTGCAAGCATGCTTTTCTTGGTCTCACTGGGATTTAGTAGGCTTGGACCTACTGTTCAGAGATGCGCAGCAGCATTTAAAATAGATTATTTCAGATAAGGACTGACAAAAAATTTAAGCTTGTTATGATATAGGCTAGTTGCCTTTCACAACGTACTGAAAGCAAATGCAATATCTGGTTTATGTATAGCATGTGATAACAGCAGTACTAAAATTATTTGTGCGTTAAATTACATTCTATACACAGCCGAACATTGTAAAAAACCCTAAACCTAATCCAATCCACTTGCATTATGCTAATGCTAAGTTTAAAAAACAGAGTTCATTTAAGATATTTGTGATCTTCTGCACAGCCACACGCTGTGGTTCCTTGGCATTTTTGAATGAAAATAAACCACGAATCAGAGAACTGCATTTCTACAATGTCATGGCTAATAAGTACCAAGCGTAAGGTGTCGTA